CTGGTCCTCACCTGTTCAGCCGCTCCGTTTCCACCTCGAACTCGCGGATCTTGCTTTCGGAGATGGCAGAGCCATGGGAGTAGAGGGTTTGGAAAATCTCCTGGATGTTGGAGCAGTCCTGGAGCGAGTGGGCCAGGTGTTCTGCCACACTGCTGGACACCTGCAAAAGGATGCCGGTTTCCCCAGGACGGTGTCACTCCAGGGACGCTGGTCCCCAGGCATGCTTGGTTTGCCGGACACCACACAGCCAGCACTTACGGTAAACCCGGCATCGGTGGACGTTCCCTGGTGGGTCTGTCTGTGCGGTATGGCGCATAGGAAAGGCCAGTCTCCGTGACAGCTGCTCACCTGACACAACCCACACTGATGCGTGGGTACTGTGCCCCTGCATCCCTTCCCTGTCCTTCCCGTCCCCTACCCCTGCCACTCTGGGCCACCGCTGCCGGTTACTACAGCCAAGGAGAGGGGCGACTCCTCGCGTGTCGCGATTTGTCTGTGGTATGGAATATGAATGCTGTGGTTTTACTCAGCGCAGAATTCTCCATCCCAGACCCCGGGGCTGGGAACATCGTGTACCTGTGGAGCTAGCTAGCGGCCGGGCTGGTGGGGGCTGAGGAGCGGCTCAGAAACCACGGAAAAGCCTTGCCCAAGCGCCACCCCTAACTTGCTGCACTGTCACTTAAAATGTAGAAAGTGCTGGGACCAGCAGTTAGCGTAATGGCTATGTCGCTGGACTCCTATGTAGTCGACCAAGGTTCGCGTCCTGGACCCGGTGGCTTAAAACTCACGCTAGGGGCGTGTGTGTGCATGCCCAAGAGCCCAAGAGGAGAATGGAGAAGGGATTGCAGCATGGCCATCTCCCTGGGCGGGGGGGGGTGATTTCTCACTTTCTGTCTCTGTCTCTCTCTGTCTCTCTGGTGAGCACACGCGCCCTATGGCAAAAACCTCTCCAAAAAAAAAAAAAGAAATGTAGAAAGTGCTATTCATGGTCTCCCCGTCCCTGAAGATCCCAGGGCTGGCTCCTCAGCCTTATCTCCAACCCTCAAAGACATCGTCTAGGAACCAAAACTACCCACGTGCACCATGCATCGGCTTTCAGGGCCCCAAGGGGTCACGTGACCCACTCTGGTCTTTCATAGTGGGGCCACATTTCAGACAGTGCTGACATTCCCCGCAGAGGGCATTCCTTTCATGAGGGGGAGGGAAGGAAGGTTCTTTAGAGCTGCGACTCCCCTGGTCTCAGAGTAGCAGGTCAAGTAACACAGACATTTCAAGGCTCTTGTTCGCCTCTCAAGGAACTGGACTTTTCTTGTTTCAACTTGAGAAAACAGATCTCCCTGAAAGCTCAAGTCAGCCGTTGTGTGGACACCGTGCCGTTTCAGCGGGAGCCTTAGAAGAGCCTGTGTCACCTGATCCGCTGGCTGGAGGAGCTGGCCTTCGGGAGCTCTCCCAACCCTGCTAGCCACCGTCTGTCTACACAGCTCTGTGGGGCCCGCTCCTGCCTCGCCTCCTGCCAGCACTCACCCCGATGCTGCTGATTTCTGAGCCCAGGACTGGCCGATCAGACGAGGAGGATTCCGACCTTGTCTTTGACAGCTTCACCCTCTCAGCAATCTTAAAAAGCAAAACAAAAAATTATCAAAGAAACTATGCGTCACTCCCAGTGAACCACTGGAGGGATACCTGTGCGCACGGAGAAACTGCACGCCAGCGAGACTGACTGATGCCTTCCCTTTCTTTTTCCTCTTTATCTTTTTAAAGCTTTTTATTTTTTTTGCCGTAGGGCACATACACTCGCTGGAGACAGAGAGAAAGTGAGAAATCACCCCCAAGGGAGACGGCCACACCACAATCCCTTCTCCATTCTCCTCAGATTTGGGGCACGCATGCACACACGCCTGGCACCATATTCGAGCAGCTGGGTAGGGGACTCAGATGGCAGTCTGGCCATGTGAGAGTCCAGCATCTTACCCACCGTGTCACCTGCTGGCCCTGAACTTAGTTCTTAAAGACAACGCATTCCCTACACCAGCTACCCCAGGGTATCTTGCCCTCAGCGCTAACACCTTCTAGCTGGTAAGTCCTTGTCAGACGCTCTGTCACCAGTCTTCAGCAACCACAGGTGCTGGTACATGCCAGGTGTGACCACTGGAAGTGTCTAGCCATTGCCGAACACCCCCTGGAGGACATGCTGACCTCTGGCTGACAAGCACTGTGTTAACCTGACTTACCAACCAGAGAGTTGAGAGCCAGCCTTCCCGTGGAGGCCAGCAGTGTGACCAGGCAGGAGGGCATATGTCACGTGAACAGCTGGGCCTCTGAGCTGGGGGCCGAGGAGAGGCTGGGTGGACTGCCCCCCAGCCAGGCCTGCCCATCTCAGGGCAGGGAGGTCATGGTTCATTACTGGGGTCCCCTGCGGAGCTGACCCTTAGTCCTTGAGAGCAACTCCTTGCCTGCGTGAGGAGTTACAGCACCTGCCGTCCAGCTCTCCACAGCGACTGGTCGGCCATGATGTCTGCAGGGCTGATCAGTGAGAGCTGGCGTCCAGGCTGCCGCGAGGGCCCTGGGGGATGGCGCGATGTGCAGAGGGCAGGCTGCCGTGGCTGCTGCAGGAGGCTGGCACTGCCCACTACCAGGCGCTGCTCTTGCCACTCGACCCCAGGAGCTCACCTTAGCGATGGGGATGTCATTGCTGCTGCTGCTGGTGCTCAGCTCCCCCGTGCTGGGGTTGATCGGGCGGTTGGCAGAGGTGAGGCGGCCGGGGCTGGAGGGGCCTGTGGCCTGCATGCTCTGGAGTCACCTCTGCAGCTCCCGCACCTGAAATCACAATGCCTTAGATGCTGGGTGGCCTCCCTGCCCATCGGCTACGAGCCAGCTGGGTGGGTGGAAGGCTTTCACTTAGAGCAAGATCAGCCTCACTGTGAAGCTGTCAGTTCAGTCCACACAGAAGTCACTGTGTTCTAAATCATAAACTTTATTATTTATTTATTTTCTTGAGTCAAAGAGACAGAGAAAAAGAGAGACAGTACCACTCACAGGTTTTGGTGTTGCGAGGCCCCCCCAGCCTCAACCAGCATCGGCCTGGGGCCACGCCCAAGCCTGGTGTTCTCAGGGAGCTCTCCAGACATGAGCCTGACACCTGTGCGGTCGGGCCACAGAGGGCAGCCTTCACCACCGTGTCACGGCTGGCCCCGGGACAACTCACGGCATTCTTAACGGAGCCGATGACTCCCACCCATACTGCGCAGCACCTAGGGTGGCCAGAGCAGAGGAGGGGCCACCTTTAAGGAGTGTGTGTTCGGGGCCAGAGGTGGCACAGTGGTTAAGGCACTGGACTCCCACGTGGCTGACAGCGGTTCCATTCCCAGGCCCAGTAGCTTCCAACATGCTGGGCATGTGCATGTGTGTGCCGATTGCCGAGAGGAGAATGGAGATGGGACTGCAGCGTGGCCCTCCTCCCTTGGGAGGTACTCCGTGCTTTCCGTCTCCCCCTTGAGCACAAGCCTCCTACAGCAGAACTTCCTGAAGGAAGAAAAGGAATGTGTGTCCATGAGTCCCTGGTGCCCGGTGCTGGCCAAGGACAGACCTCCACTCCACAGACCTCGCTGCCCAGGGGGAGAGACAGAGAGTTCCCATAGGAGTGCAGGCAATGTGCAGATACCAATCTCACGTGCTTTGGGAGGAAGGGGAGGGAAGGACGCTGAGGACAGGAGCTTGAGCAGAGACCTGCAGGTGAACAGGGAGGGCCTGGCTTCAGAGGGGGTGCAGGAGGGCAGCTTGCCCAGGACACGGTTCCAGGCTGTACACTGTGTCTGGGGACCTGCGAGTGGTTCAGGCTGGACAGCAGAGCTCTCCGCGTCAGGAAGGGGGTTGGGTTAAGACGTGGGGACAGCGATGGCACCAGCAGCTTTTCCCCAGGTGACTCATGGTGGGATTACCCCTGGGATGGTGGGAAGGAGAATCTAAACAGCCCATCTGTACACGAAGAAACACAGGCCTGCAGGACCGCGTGGAACACACAGCTCCCTACAGCGGCTTCCATGCCCACACCCTGCTTCTCTATGGTGCAGCTCTGGGGTTCCCAGGGCAGCCGGCCTGAGTGAGGGGAGGCAGTGACTAGAATGGGTACTGGAGAGCCCCGACCACAGTTTCATCACGGGGCCACAACGTCTACTTTAAAGAGCAAACCAAGGACTGCCCCAAGGTCCCTGAGAGGGTGCTGGACCCCGCCAGGAAGAATCAGCACTATTCGTTTAGAGCAGGGGTCCTCCAGGGGCTGGTTACAGCGCAGCTGTCAGGGCCCTGCCCCGGGATCAGTGTACCCACTAAGCCAAGTTGCTACTGCTGCTGCCGGCTGGGACACACATGCTGAGACCACGGACCTGCAGGACCCCATGGCCACCAGGCACATGGGCCCACAGGCGGGCTGCACAGCTGCATCCCTCGCTGGCCAGGCGGGCCTTCCCGACAGGCCACCGGAGCCCTTCACGTTAACTGTCGGAGTGGACTCCGTTCTGCTAACTCAGGACACAAAAGTAATTGGAATTTCAATAATTCAGAAAGATATTAGGATCCCAAATGGGGAAACTCCCCCAGAACAAGTCTCCCAGTGTCCCGCGATCTGCTGAGGCGTCCGGTCCCCAGGCTGGGGGAGACATGCGCCACCACAGGTCACCCTCTGCTCGCCAGGCACAGCTCGCTCGAGCTGCTTCAAGACTAGGCAAGCACGCCTGCGCGGCCGAATGCCATTGCCAGTGAGAGACTACGGGTTCCCTCCGGAACGCCACCGGCCTCGTCATAGCACGTGCCAAAGGCCCGCCCAGTGGGCACGCAGAGCCCTCGCCGTGGAGACCACGGACCTCAGCTCCGACTGTGGCAGAGGTCAGAGGGGGTCCTGACGGCGAGCCTGGCTGACACCGGTGGAAACCCAAAGGCGCCCTGAACGGCCCACAGCACACCGGCGTCTGCTCCTGAGATTCCAACCGGCCTGCTCATTTGCTTTTCAAAAAATACAATTTGTCCTGGGCAATTTCCAAAAATGTCACTACAATACCCATGAGAAACAGACGAGGTGAGGACCCTGCTGGCGGAAGCCTGTCTGCCTCATGGAAGAAAGAAATGGGAAAACATGGAAGGGAGAGAAAACGAGGCAGAGTCCGGCCTTGACCGAAGGGCACCGGGCCACGGCAGGGGTCGCTGGGAGGGGCTGTCTCCTTTGAAGCCCTAGAGGGCCCGCGACCCGGCAGACACCCTGACTTTAGGCAGAGGACAAACCTCTGTTTTAGGCCAGCGGGTTTGCTGTAATGAGCTGACACACCCACCTTTCATAGAACCTGTTTTCATGAAGTGAAGCAGTCTCTTCCTATAGAATATGTGCTTTGCAGGCCAGCCCATGGCGGGGTGGCGGGGTGGCGGGATGCTTCATGGCCAATTCCCAGTTCGAGTCTCAGACCTGGTGGCTTGAAAAACACACTAGGCACATGTGCGTGTGTGCCCGAGATCCCGAGGAGGGAGCGATGGAGAAGAAGGGATTGCGTGGGACCGTTCCCGTGGAGGGGTGCCCTGTCACTCTTTCTGTCTGTCTCTCTCAGGCAAGAGCGTGTACCCTCTGGGGAGTAGAACGTGCTTTAGTGCTTCATCCGCCGCCTCCCCACCCTCCCCAGGCAGGGGCCGGTCCATGGCACGAGCCCTGAATGGCCACGTCCTGGCTGCCGTGCGGTTGCCACCCAGCAGTCGAGGGAAGGGAAGTTCACCGTCCTGCATCAGCACTAAGGTGGAGGAGAGGTTCCTGCGTCCAGGGGCCGAGGGTACCCAGACAGGACAGCGGAGTGCCCCGCTGAGGGAGCGCCACCTGAGCCTAGGGAGCCGCGGTGCAGAGCTCCCAGAGAAGGCACCGCTGCGAAGGCGGCCCGAGGGAAGTAGCCCCGTCTCAGTGGGTAAGGAGGAAGAGAAGGGAGATTTCGCGGGGCGCCCGCAGGGTGGTCACAGGGAAGGCCCCGTGTCTCTCTGGCATTCAAGGGCTTTATAAAAGCCATCTGATGAGCGAAGAGACAGGACTGCAAGGAGGAGGAAGCAGCTGGAGAGTGCACAGCTTTCCTGACGGGCTGGCTGAGAAACGACGCAGGTCCCGTCGGCCAGCAGAGCGGGTCAGGCTGCAGAGAGCAGCACGGGCGATTCCTCCACAGGGACACGCCCGCGGCAGCCACAGCTCACGGGGTCGCTGCACTGCGGGGCGCCCCGTCTGCCCGAGAGACTGCCTTCTAACTGGACGTGAAGATGCAAGAAGGAGCCCTTCTTTTCTTTTTTGTTAAAGAGAAGTGGAGATCGGCTTTGGAGATACAGCGTTTGAGGAAACCCTGGGGCACTGAACGAGGATTTTCAGTTGACGGTTAGAACTATGGGGCCAGCAGGTGGCGTGGTGGTTAAGGGAGCTGGACTCCCCCATGGCCGACCATGCTTGGGTCCCGGACCTGGCGGCTTGCTTTCTCACTTTCTCTCTCTCTGGTGAGCACATGTACCCTATAGAAAATTTAAAAAAATATAATTAATAAAATTAAATAAGTAATTTTTTTAAAAAAGGGAAAGTGTAAGCCTGCAGGGTATGGTGGCTAAGGCAACTGTGCAGCTCAAGAGAGTCACGCCTGACACGAACGTGTGAGGGCCCAAACCCCAAAAGGAGGGAGCAGTGACTGAATTAACACGTTTTAAAAAAGACAAGGGGGTACAGAAAACGCAGTCTGAAGGGAAAGGCCAGAATGGGGCGCACAGAATGAGGGTTCCGTGTGGGGGCCAGGTCCGGGGCGGGGCGGAGCATGGGAGCCGAGGCGGAGGGTGAGAGGGTGGGAGGAGGGCAGCCTTTCCTCTCGGAGGGGAGGAAAGGAGGTGAAGTGGGGCAGGAATGAGGCTGCGTCTGCAGATGGCAGGGAGGCAGGACGGGGTTCGTACCTGCTGTGCCGATCTCTGCTGGGCATGCGGGGGAATGAGTAGGTGTGGGAGTGGGCAGGGCCTGGCCTGAGACCCACAGGGACAGGTAGTGGTGCGGGGCTGGGCTCTTCCTCTCCACGCCTGCACTGAGGACCCCCACGCCTCTCCACTCTGGAGACTGCAGAGCAAGACAGTCCGGGCTGAAAACCAGAGACTGAGCCCTTCAGGCCACGGTGCAGGCAGAGCCCAGCGGGATGCGGGGTGCTGATGGCTCTGGCAGGCTCCATGAGGCTGGACACGAGTCTCCAGGGTGAGCAGGGTGAAGGTCTCCTGACAGCAGCCTGGGGCTGTCCAGGCATGGACTCCTATGGAGTGTGGAAATGTGGCCGGCAGCCAGAGGATGAGCCCTGCCAAGGTTGGAGGAGGAAGCACCAACTGCCAGGAACCTCCAGGTGCCACAGTGAGGGGGAAGCTGGTACCGGCAGCTCCGGGACCAGAGCAGCTGGCGGGGGGTGGGGGGGCTGGCATCTGTTACAGGGGACCCGGGTCCCTCCTCCCCCAGCAAAGCCCAGAGCCCTCCTACCATACCCCTGTGGAAAGACAGCAAAGAGCCCCCGCGAGGATGGGAGGGCCACGGGCCGTGGGTAGTCAGGGAAGGCTGGGCCAGAAAGGGGCATACTGGGTGTGGTGTCCCACACCACGCTCGGGCTTCAGCACTGAAAGCCGGTCTGGGTGTCATGGGGCCTACTGTTGCCCAAGACCTGATGTGCAAGCTGCCCAGAGTCACTGGGAAGCTCCCTGCCACGAGGGCCGCCAGGCGTGGGAAAGAGGCGCTGCACCGAGAGGCCACGATCCCGACGGGGCGAGCTCACCCGGGAGGGGTGAAAACCGCGGGCGCAAAGTACAGCACAGGAGGTCACGGGGGAGCTCCGAGGGAAGGGCCGTTTCTGCCAGGAAGAACTAAGAACGGCGGGAGCGTCGTCTGCAGGGCAGGGTGCAGGCCAGCTGCTCGTGCCAAGGGGCCTCCTCCGCAGGGAGACGCAGTCATCCCAGGACAGCCTGCTGAAGGCGGCCCAGACAACACCGTCCCTCCGAACCTAACAGGGCGCTGGACTGTGGAGGCGGGCTGAGCAACGCCGCCTTGGAGCCACCCTAGTCCCGGGGCTGTGAGCAGGTTCCCATCCGAGGTAAGAGGAACCCAGACAGTGAGACTCCAGGCTCTAATCCAGGCCAGTCCCAGAGTGGGGTCAGAGAGCATGGGGGCCCCGTGCTGCCGGCCTACACAGGGAAAGGTCAGTCCCACAGTGGGGTCAGAGGGCGTGGGGGCCCCGTGCTGCCGGCCTACACAGGGAAAGGTCAGTCCCACAGTGGGGTCAGAGGGCGTGGGGGCCCCGTGCTGCCGGCCTACACAGGGAAGGGCCAGTCCCACGGTGGGGTCAGAGGGTGTGGGGGCCGCTGTGCTGCTGGCTTACACAGGGAAGGGTCAGTCCCACGGTGGGGTCAAAGGGCGTGGGGGCCCCCGTGCTGCCGGCCTGATGCAGGGAAAGGGCGGAGTTGGAACACAGGCGGCCTGTCGGAACACAGGCAGGAGGCCCGGG